TATAAATATATGTATTCACACACACACACACACAAACACATACACATACACAAAAACACACATAGACACATATACACAACACATGAAGACACACAGACACATACAAACACATAAACACACACACACAATCTAAGCGTACTTAATTCGCACCTTGGTCTGGAACCGCGAGAGTATGCAAATTAGGTGTCAAAAGGTGCTTAGCTTTAGGTCACCCAATGCTTGGATGCGCGGCTGAAGTCTTGTGTGCCTGAAAAAATTTTTAAGAGCCCAAAACAATAGTCCCTTTGTTTCAGCCTTGACTCACGAAGAAAAAAAAAGTTATACTATTCAATCTTCGGGAACAAAAAACAACTCGGCTTCAGGACCACACTAATGACATTTCAGCACCCACAACAGAAGGAACGCCTGACTGGATATAGCTACAATCGTAGCAAATGATAGTATATTATACAAAAACCCATCAGATCACCTTTCGCGTTATGCCTCTGACGTTCTACCAGGTTCTTCATGGTGTGACTCTTTTACCGGAAAATGTTTTATTCCATTTTTCAAATCCTTTGTCAAATGTTTCATATTTTTACAGTCAGCAGAAATCCCTTTTTATTGAAGATATCCAGGTGAGTTTGAAACTGCAAGCGGCTCGTGACCAGACGCCAGTCAAAATAGCGGACAACTTACATTACTTTTTGAGTCCATCTCGTTGTACACTCGTAATCGCTTCTGACCTTCCCCCCAGAATGATAGGGTTTCAGCAGTTGGATACCTTTAAACCTAGTAGCTGTTCCAATAATAGAAGACCGTGAACGAATTTGTCTTCTTTTTTCCATGAATGCAAACCCTATAAAAGATGCACAATTAAAACCTTGAGAAAGTCAGGAAAAAGTCTCTTGCTCTTACTATAGAGATTTAAACATCAGATAGTCAAACCAAAGTCAGTAGTTGGGATGTTGTCTTTTAGCTCTGTCCTCGTCGTCTGTGTCGCGCTTGGATTACGTAAGAGATGTTTAGAATGTTTATACTATAATATTTCTCATACGTAACAAGACAAGTGATATCTACGTTTATATATTATTATGTTTACCAAAAAACTGCAGATGCTGTCTGGAAGCTGTCCAGTGTCATAAAAGTTAGTGTTCTCTCACAATACAGGTCTATACATTTATGCTTTGTAAGGTATCATCAAACTAATAACCTTTAAAAGTTGCAGTTTGCAGTTGACTGTCAAATAATGAAACATGGTTTCCATAGTTAAAGTGCGCAATATAATTGTTATCCGTTTTCTTAATATTATTCGATCTTCGTACTACAAATAAATCTGTTTAAGTTTAACAGAATGCCTTACAATAAAGTGATGAAAAAAGTAACGCTCAGATACTATCGTATGATGCCATAGCCTGTAAAGACTCTATTTTTAAAGTAAAGAAATAGCATTCATATATTTTCTTGTTCATTTTTTGTTTAACACTTCTGATTGCTTTGGAGACTAAGGAATATGCTCCTGTCATTTTCTCTGTCTTTCTTAGCAAGTCAATTTATAGAAACTAAACCAAACAAAACAAATATAAAAGAAAAAACCGCCAATCATTAATTATGGATCTATCTAAGGCCGATGAATGACATAAGAAACCGACATGTCCTGCGTTCCTGAGGACTGTATTTATTTCATGAGAAACACAAATATGCATAGTTTAAAATACTATACCACAACTTACAACGTCAAATTGTATATCCTATACCAAATTGTCTTGATTCAAACGTTTGCAATTGGAATCTGTGGTCTCCAAAAAATATTTATTATAATGTATCAATGGGAAGTAATCTTTTTGGAAAGCAAGTGCCAAAAAGTGCAAAAGAAATACAGTCTGCGTTTTAAAATGAAGAAAGATTCCTACCCACGAATGAATACTATTTGTATTTCCAAGGTTTTCTGACAAAGCATTGGTACACTCTTTTCAATGTATTCATGATAATTTTGATCACGGCATAAAAACGCTTATTTCATTAGCAGAATTTAGTGCATTCCTCGCTGATGGAAAACCCGACATGACACCTAATATGTTTGTTTTATCTCAGGGAGCACTTCAAGCATAGACAGCTGTCCGCCTAAGCTACCACGGGACAAGTTCTTACAGTATTTCCAAGGCATCTGTTACGAGTTTGCTGTGACAACATACCGTCATTTCTTTACGGCCACAAAAGAATGTTTGCAGAAAGGTGGACTTTTGGCTCTAATAAAGTCGGTAGAAATAAATTCCTTGATTCAAAAAGAGCTGCATGATACCTACAATGAGCAGTAAGACACATGGATCGGTCTTGACGACGCAAATGGAGAGAGAAATTTCACGTGGGTCGACGGTAGTGATGTGGAGTACGAAAACTGGGCACCTAACGAAGGCGAGCGGTTTGGTGGCGGGTTGGACGCTTGTGCCACAATCAACCCTGTCAACGGGACCTGGATCGATTATCCATGTCAAGGATTTCTTTTCGAGGAAGTAAAACCTTACATATGCCAATTCAACGCCATTCAATCTTCCACCCCCCAAGTCCCAACCACGGATCATTCTGAAAAGTAACCCCCTTTTCCTGTGATCTTAATTGTGAGAATGGTTACATAAGAGACGAGTTACAGTGTGATATTTGCGAAAGCAACGAGTAAAGATAGAACTGCAAATTTTTTTAATCGTACAGACATCGGTGTGTAGCTTCATTGAGATCCATTTGGTATGAAGGTAAAAAATAAAGATGGCACATTGGCAATTTTAGAAATAAACCTTCATATCAAATAAACAGTTTATTAACCCTATTCAACCTTTTTCTTTGCTGACAACAATGTTCTGGCAATAAAGTGCGTGGAATCAACTAATGTACGAAAAAGTGTCACGTACGATTTTTGTGATGTCTGTGTTTGTATTTGTTTGTTTGTTTGTTTGTCTATGTGTATGTATGAATGTATGTATGTATGTTTGTATGTATGTATGTATGTATGTATGTATGTATGTATGTATGTATGTATGTATGTGTATGTGTGTGTGTGTGTGTGTGTGTGTGTGTGTGTATGTATGTATGTATGTATGTATGTATGTATGAATGTATGTATGTATGTATGCATGTGTGTGCGTGTGTGTGTATGTGTGTGCGTGCGTGAGTGTGTGTGTGTGTGTGTGTGTGTGTGTGTGTGTGTATGTCTGTGTTTCCATAGAAAGAGGGAGATAGAAAGATATAGAAAGAGGGAGAGATGGTGGTATTTATGAGTCCACATTAAGACCAGATGGTCTAGTGAACAGTATTGCATTTTTTACTGTAAAATCTATCGAAGCACTAGAAACAGCCATTAAATCTCAAAATTCGAAAATGAGATGTTCCTCTCCAGCATTCAAAGTTGTCACACGAGCTGGTATTGTCACTTGATATATTTTGATTTAGTTACCGTGTTACGGCACCTGAAACACGATTTGGTCATTGAAATGCCGAAGATTAGAGATGCGACTAGAGAGTAACAAACTCCAAAAGAGGAGGTGAGATGAGGACGATAGATGTTTGAAAGAAAATAAGGAGCAAACCAAATCAGAACATCCCCAACCACCCAGGGTGTTGTCTCTGATATTGATGAAAGAATCATTGTGTCTATGAGCTGTCCGAGATGTAAGGTGACAATAACCTTCATGTATTTGAAAATAATTATCTTAAACACAACGCAGTAATATACTTT